ATGGGGTTGTGAGGTCACAAGGGAAGGTTCCAGGTCTGTGTCCAGAGACCTCCCTGAGAACTCGGAGAACACATGTGCTGGTGACTCAGGACAGGCTGAAGCCATATGCAGATTTCTGCGTCAAGATCCTGCTGGAGGTGCTGTCTCTCTCTCGATCTCTCTCTCTGGGTCTCTCTCACAAAGAAGGAAAAGAAACTTAAAAAGTAAAAGCTTACCAAAAAATGATAAAGAGATGAAATAAATATATGCTAATACTTTTAAAAACTGGATTAGCTCCAGTAATTTCAGACAAAACAGTCTTCAGAAAAAGAAAATTTTCAGAGACTCAAAAGGGGTGTTATGTAACAACAAAGATTTTAATTCTTTTTTTGGAGAGGTTATTTTTTTTTTTATTTTTTATTTTTTTTTTTGCTATAGGGCACGTGCACTCACCAGACAGACAGAGAGAGACAGAAAGCGAGAAATCACCCTCAAGGGGGGATGGCCACACAGCAATCCCTTCTCCTCCATTCTCCTCTAGGGATCTTGGGTACGCATGCACACGCTCCCGGCGTGAGTTTAACCAACCGGGTCAGGGACCCAAACCGTGGTCGACTACATGGGAGTTCAGCGACATAGCCATTACGCTAACTGCTGGCCCCCAAAGATTTTAATTCTGTATAAGGCAATAATAATCCACATTACACATGCAACAAATATGTGTCAACAGTGGAGTGTCAACACACATGAGTTCCAAACATTGGCATCCAAAGGATGAAATACTTAGGCATAAGTCAAAAAATATGTATAAGAGGGGTTGGCAGATGGCATGGTGGTTGAGGGTACTGGACTCCCACGTGGCCAACTACTGTTCGAGTCCTGGACCTGGCGGCTTGCTTAAACTTTCTCTCTCTCTCTCTCTCTCTCTCTGAATGAATGAATGAATGAATGAATAAAAATGTTAAATAAAATAATTCTTAAAAATTAAAAAAGTATAAGATCTACATGAGAAAAATTGCAAAAAGATGATGAGATAAATCAAAGATAATCTAAATAAGTACAGAGATAGTCCAGGCTCATGCATAGAAAGACATAATATTGTTAAAATCTGAGAATTAGATTAATAGCTTGATCTCAATAGCATCTAAAATCCCAGTAAATTATTTTGTAAATATTGATGAATGAATTCTAAAGTTTTATGAGAAGGTGAAAGACCCTAAATGGCCAATACAATACTACAGAATGAAAAAGAAAAGCCACACCACCCAATTTTAAGATTTAATATTAGGCTACAGTGATCAAGATTGTGTGGTATTAGTGAAATAATAGACAAGGAGATCAATGGAACAAAATAAAGGTTCAGAAATAGGACCATACAAATACAGTCAATTGTTCTTTGAAAAAGGAACAAAAGCAAGTAAGTGGGAAAAGGATGGTTTTCTTCCAAACTCAGCTCTGAAACAAGTGGGCATCCACACACAACAAAGTGAATCTACATATAGACTTCATACCAGTAACAAAATAAAATGATTATTTATACACTATCCCAAAGTATTATCACAGAAGTTCTTCCTCTGTCCTTCACAATAGCAAATCTCCCCTCAGTCACCCAGGTTTCACTGACTTTTTTTTTTTGGAGAGTTTTTTTTTTTTTTTTTTTTTTTTTTGCTATAGGGCGCGTGTGTTCGCTAGACAGACAGAGAGAGATAGAGACAGAAAGCGAGAAATCACCCCCCAGGGAGGATGGTCACGCCGCAATCCCTTCTCCTCCATTCTCCTCTCGGGATCTTGGGCACGCACGCACACGCACCTGGCGTGAGTTTTAAGCCACCGGGCCTGGGACACGAACCATGGTCCACTACATGGGAGTCCAGCGACATAGCTATTACGCTAACTGCTGGTTCCCAGTTTCATTGACTTTTCATTGTAGTTCTTGCTTTCTTGAGCTCATTATCTACCTTTCTTATTTTCTGATTATATTCCTAAACTGTGTGATTTCCCCTCATCTCTACATAAAGATATAATGGGCTTCATAAAAACAGGATGCAAATATTCAAATTTTGTGTACAATGATTTCAATATTCACTAATTCTTTGTAATAACATTGCCTTTCAATTTTAAAGTGTACTTCAGTCTTCAGGGTTTCTTTTAATACTGATAAAAATGGTAATGTTGGGACCAATAGTTGGTATAATGACTACGTCATTGAACTCCCATGTGGTTGACCACAGTTGGAGTCCTGGGTCCATGTGCATGCGTGCCCTAGATCCCAAGAGGAGAATGGAGAAGAAGGGATTGTGGCATGGCCATCCCCTCTGGGGGGTGATTTCTCACTTTGTCTCTCTCTCTCTCTCTATCTTTCTGGTGAGTGCATATGCTCTATAGCTAAAAAAAAACTCCTCCAAAAAAAGAAAATGAAAGAAAAAAGAGGAAATGGTAACCAAGGATGGAAGATGTCTTGCAAAGGTCACTATAATGGTGAACAGAAACTAAACCTATAGCTGACAGCACTGTGCCCTATTTTAAAGTTGCTGGAGGCTACGTTACTTAAATAATAATTCATGACTCAATAACGTTTAATGAAATGACACACATACAATGAGAAACTTGAGAGAAAAAAGTCAAAACACATACAAAAATTAGAAGAAACAAAGTTGATGGAGTTATAAAAATTTCATTGAAGGAATTGATCATGTTCCATAATTGCTTTTTATTATTTTTTTTTGGGGGGGGGAGATTTTTCCTATAGGGCGCATGCGCTCGCCAGACAGACAGAGAGAGACAGAGAGACAGAAAGCAGGAAATCACCCCCCAGGGGGGATGGCCACGCGGCAATCCCTTCTCCTCCATTCTCCTCTCGGGATCTTGGGCACGCACGCACACGAGGCTGGCGTGAGTTTAAGCCACCAGGTCCGGGACTCGAGCCACGGTCACGCGGCGCTGGGACGCGAGCCACGGTCAACTATGTGGGAGTCCAGCGACATAGCCATTACGCTAACTGCTGGTCCCGCTTTTTATTTTTTAAAACAATTATGTTTGCATAATTTCTTTTTATTTTTGTAAAGCAAATAGTCCCAAAATAAGACAAGCAACTCATAATAACATTTATGTAAGAAAACTCATCTAACCGAAAGGGAAACAAACTTTCTCTATGATCTTTTGAAATAGCGAAAAAGTTGAAATCTCAGAGATGTTAGTGACTTGCTCAAGATCACACAAGGAAATGACACAACCAGTACTGAAGCTCATTTCCCTGATGCCACGTCCAGGCTCTTTAACAAAGTATTAAGAGTTTATTATAAGGAACACACCTTTGTTGCTGGGAAAAGGAGAGAATTATATTTTGACTTTACATAAAAGTGAGCATTAGGATTATTACTGTTCATAATTAAAAGTTGTAAGGCCATTACTGCGACCAGCAGGTAGTGTGGTGGTTAAGACGCTGGACTCTCATATAGTCAACTGTGGTTCAAATTTTGGACCTGGCAGCTTGAAAATCATGCTGGAAACATGCGCATGCAGGCCCAGAATCCCAGGAGGAGAAGAGATTAAGGCTTGCCATCCCCTTGGGGGGGTTATTTCTCCTCACTTTTCTCCTCTCTGTTTCTCTCCCTGGAGCACATGCACCCTATGGCAAAAAAAAAAAAAAAGAAAAAGAGAAAGAAAGTTAAAATAGCCATCACCTGCTGAGTGGCTATCACATAACTGCACTGTGTTCTGTGTTGGGTCATTTCGAGCTTCTACCTCACTTCTTCCCAGCAACTTTGCAATGGAATTATGAGTCTCCATTTACAAACGAGGAAACTCATGCTTACAGTTACTAATGCTTTCAATGACTTGAAAATGTAAAGGTAACTAAACATTTGAATGAGATTTGTTCTTCAAACTCTTTCTGATATATTTAAATTCTTTAACCACATTCCAAATGGTCATTTTTGTCCTTTCTATTTTCCCTCTTGACAATAGGTTAAAATTGCACATGTAATTAAACATTTTTTCAGTTTGCTAATTGTGAGCCCAATTGCATGCTCTGGCTGAAAGCACCCACAATTAGCAAGCACTGATTAGATGCTTATGCAATTTTGCAAAGAATATTTTTTAGTATGCATAAAAGGAGTCTGGCTCTTAAGAAGTTGGCCTTTACTGGTATAAGTTTTGAAGGTTTTTATGTAAAAAGTCAACTCAAATGCAACATGAAGCAGCATTTTCTAAATGCATTTTAAATGCTTGCAACTGTGACAGACCTCTATGTAAATGTTTATTGTATGAAAGCATAAACTCTGACAGAAAAGTATTTCTACAAGACAACAGGGAGTGTAGAAGACTAGATAAGTCTGCAAAGATGACAGTAACTAGAGATGAAAAACATAAATGTGCCTATTATCTCCAGAAACCCAAAAAACATGCCTTATTTGCTGGTTACTCTGTCATCTCTGACTAGTTTTAAAGTCAGCACTTCTGCAAAAATCCCTGTGCATTATTAAATGTCTCAGCAGATTAGTAATGGGTTTTAGGACCTTAAACTTCTAGGTCACTGGTGTGAATTTAACCCAAGTCATTATTGGCTATACTTCCATTGTTCGTAGTAATCACTGAAAACTAATTTGCCTCTCAGAATATTGTCAAATTTACACATTAAACTATTTAATTAATATCAACTTGACCATTGCATGATACTCAGATTTGACATGAAAATGAGTAAGAAAGGCATGTGGGAGTTTGATGGTTCTATGGCTTGAATATGATCCCCCCCAGATTCTTGTTGGGATGTGATAGTACTACTGTCTGTATCGTAAAGATACAAAGTGAAAGCTTAATTCCTTCATGGTGTTCCTGGGGAAGGTCCAATGGCCAGTGATTGGTTCATGGTGATTGCATCGTGGAGTTAACAATCTTATCAATAAATTAATGATATCCAGTGAGACTCAATGAGTTATACCCCTGATGAGAAAGGGATTAGTTACCCTGAGAGCTGGTTGTAATAAAGGGAGACCAGTCAGGATCTCTCTCTCTGCAGGTGCCTGTCCTCCTGTTCTTCCACTGACATGCCTTAGGCCTCAGACTTTGGACTTTGCAGCCACCAGAACTGTGAGTTTGTAAATAAACTTTTGTCTTTGTGAAGCACCCAGGCCTAGTTATTTCTGTCAGCAATGTGGAAAGAGGCTAAGACAAAGGGAGTGGGTAGTGTGAGTGAAATTCAGCAAATGGGGGGCTACCATTCTAGCACTCAGAAAGAAACAGTTTATGCCTACAAAGCACCCTCATTACCTTTGTTTAAGAAGGAAACTACATAGTTTTCTTATTGAACACCTTGCTTAGAGAAAAGAAGCCAACCCAAACTACTTTTTAAATATGTATTATTATTTCTCAGTTTTTTCTTAAAGAAGCTGATTACCCAAAGGAAATATTAAGAAAGTGGAGAAACTTGCCTAGTTAAAGTGACTGTCATTCACAAGTAAATAAGAAGCTATGTGTGTACATTACACAGGCATCATCTATAATGTAAGTATTAATTTGAAGTAAGATTTCAAACCATATTAAAATGAACAAGAAACGCATAATGAATTTTCCAAAATCACAGTATAATCATACGATGGTAAATTTGTGACTAACCATTCATTTCGGGAACTTTTCCAGATAGTTTTCATGATTCTCTTAAAAATAATTATATATATTTTTAACCAACAAGAGTAACAAAATAAACTTTTGCTTCACAAAATTAATTTTATTGTCTCCTTTCCACTGAAAATAAACTATCTTATAAATTAGAGGAGGAGGAGGAGGAGAAAAAGAAGAAATAAGAAGAAAGAAGAAGGAGCAACAAGAAAGAAGAAAGAAGAAAAGGAAGAAAGCCTTCAGGGCCAGCAGGTAGCTTGGAGGTTAAGGTGGCTGGATCCCACATGGCGAACTGCAAGTTTTGAGTCCTGGAACTGGTGGCTTGATAAACATGCTGGGTGCATGTGTGTATGTGCTCAAAATCCCAAAAGGAGAATGGAAAAGAGGGGTAATTTTTCATTGGATATATATGTATGTATTTATACAGGAACATAGAAAACGTAACTTTAAGGTTTTTTTTTTTTTTTTTTTTTTCTCCCATAGGGTGCATATACTCACTGGAAAAAGACAGAGAAAGATAGTGAGAGGAGAAGTGAGAAATCATTTCCCCAGAGAGGATGGTCACACTGTAATCCCTTCTCCTCCATTCTCCTCCTGGGATTTTGAGCATATATGTGTATGCGCGCATGTGCACACACACATACACACACACACATAGCATGATTTTCTTTTCTTTTCTTTTTTTTTTTTTTGGAGAGGTTTTTGCTATAGGGCACGTGTGTTTGCCAGAAAGACAGAGAGACAGAGAGCCAGAAAGCGAGAAATCACCCCCCCCCCGCAGGGGGCCCAGCCTCCTCTCGGGATCTTGGGCACGCATGCATATGTGCCTGGCGTGAGTTTTAAGCCACCGGGTCCGGGACGTGAACCGCGGTCGACTACGTGGGAGTACAGTGACATAGCCATTACGTTAACTGCTGGTCCCCATAGCGTGATTTTCTAGCTCACAGCTCTGGGACTTAAACCACAGCTACATGAGAGTCCAGTGCTCTTACCAACACATCACCTGCTTACCCCACATTAACTTATTTTTATAGAATATAAACAACAGATTCTAGCTATCAAGAAACATACCAATGAATAAGAGCTTGGAAATTTTTCACTTACACAAAATATTTCAATCTCTGGTCATTTTCATTTCAATACTGACTCAGGATAAACCAAAAGCTATCAATAATCCTGTTTTGAAAAGATCTGTGATGCCAGCAGGTGGCATGGTGATTAAGGTGCTGTATTCCTACATGGCTGATGGTGGTTCAAGTCCTGGGCATAGTGGCTTGCTTTCTCTCTCTGTCTCTGTCTCTCTCTCATGCTCTCTGGTTAACACACATATCTTACAGCAAACAACAACAAAAATATTGTGAATGTCATAGCAAACCAGACTTTGCTTCAAGGCATTCGGAGGGCCAAGTAGCCAGAATACAATGGGATGAACTGTGGAAATTGAATTACACATGTACAGTGGCCAATCATCAGTGTCTTTGAAAGAAGCAACATGATTGGTTACCAATCATAATGCACATCTACTACTTCTGTCATGAGCTGAGGACTGAGGAGCTAGTAACACAGTTTGCAGTTTATGGAAACACGGTTAATATGCTTTGGACTGAAATTTGAACTGAGTTGCTGGGAAGCTGGTATGATTTCAAAAGACTGTAGTAAATAGAATTCTTGCACATAGGAATCATGTAAAAGGATCAATGCCTGTCATGATGTGCAACAGAAGTCTGGCCAAATTTAATAAGATTTATGTGTGGCTATTTACAAAGCCATCTCTTTAAAATTTAGAAGTACACACACACACACACACACACACACACACAGACATACACACACACAATATATTATCAAATTTGGGTTAAAATGCCATTCCTCTTCCTATAGGGATCCTATCCTATGTGAAAATGTGATATTTAATAAAAGACTGAAATACCCATCCCGTTCATTCTCTTACTGGAGACAGAAGAAAGATACACAGTAGTTCTGCATGATAAACTATAGTAGAGTCACATAAAAGACTCCAGAAAATAATTCAAAATGTGAAAATGCTTTTGATTCCCTCAAGAAACCAAATATATTCTTCAGTGTACCTCACCACTGCACCTTTTTATCAGATTGTTTTAATAATGGCACTACTGTTCAATTTGTTATATGTCATCAGACATGCATGGCAGTCAGTGCAAAGGACAAGTTAGACTTTAAAATGAACCGC